CTGGGCTAGATGGACCTTTGGTCTGACCCAGGACGGCCATTGTAAGCTCAGGGCTCAGGGTCGGGGGTCTCAGTGGACCCCCTTGATTCTCTTGCACACCTGCTCCTGGGTGGCCAGGCTGGAAGCTCTCCTGCCCTAGCTGGCCACTTTCCTGTGCCTAGTGCGGAGATCGTGGACAAGGTTCACGTTGTCTGCACCAGCCCAGGAGGGTGCCCGCCTCTTGCGGTCCAGGGCAAGCTCCCGGGAGCCGCCAGCCTGGTCCTGGGAAGAGGGGGCGGTGCCGGGTGCAGGGTCGGCTGGCTGGGTGCTGGCAGGCTTGCACCTGGCACGGGCACCGTAGCCAGCCCGTGCCCCTTTAAGAGGTCTGGGGCCGGGAGGGGGGCAGACGAGTTTCCCTGGTGTTGGTCAGAGTCGCCACCAGGGAAACCTGGGGAGGGCTAGCCTCCTACTAAATCGAATTAAGGGGCAACACAGCCCTTAATTCGAACTAGCTAGTTCGAACTAGGCTTAATCCTCGTAAAATGAGGTTTTCCTAGTTCGAACTAAGCACTCCGCTAGTTTGAATTAAGTTCGAACTAACGGAGCGCTAGTGTAGCGCCTATGAAAGTTAGTTCGAACTAATGTCCGTTAGTTCGAACTAACTTTGTAGTGTAGACATACCCCCTGAGATCAGAAATAGTCTTCTCTTTTTTCCATTGATGTTTTCGCACTGGTATAATTTTCATACGTATTAGAATAATTCTAGTCCCCTTATCACCCATACTTACTGCATCAACACTGCCTTGGAGTTGCCAGTTAATTAAAACCTTGCATGGGAATAACATTATCTCTTAACAAACACTATTCCCACTATGTCCATTTCAATATGATGTGCTTAAATGAGAACCTGTAATAAACACGTGCCACTTACCATGTGAAGATAAGACATAACAATGTGGATATTAAAATAAGAACTTGGTTAAACATTGCACTCTGTGTACGTTGAATGGCTCTATGGAGATCATTCTATATTAATAGAAAAAAGCAGATTAGTTATATTTTTTAATAATGCATCTGCTGATTCTATACAACAGTTCTGTCATATCCTGATAAGAGACAATGTCATAAATATACTTAAAATTTACTGAGAACCATGGGTGGTGCAAAGGAGTCAGTTGTGGTTCTCTGATCTCTGTGACTAGGTGTTTTGACTACCATGGAATGTGCTCTAAATTTAACACTTGGTCCATAGGGTATGCCAACCAGGAGTAATTAGAGCATAGTAGCCCTCTAGATGTCTGGAGTAAAGACTATATGCAAGTGTCATAAGAGTTAGCCATGCTAGGAATTTGCCTTGATGGAAGCCAGTGATGAATCAGATTCATCAACTGTGGAAACTATGTCTAACACTTTGACATTTTCCAGATTTGATGAAAGATATTGATACAGCAAAATCAAGAAGCATATTCATATTTGAATTATAAAAGTGATTAAGCCCAAGACAAATATAAACTTATTTAGTGCAATCCCCTGACCAGAAAGCAGTAGATTTGCTGAATTCAACAGATTCAAAATAGATATATTTTAAAAATATATATTCTTGCCTCACTATTTTTGGTTATACTTACAATCATATTCTCCAAAGCATGTTTGGCAAGCCAGCAATTTAAAAATACAGGAATAAATAGGTTTCTTAGTGAAGGCCAGAAAATCTGAGGAAGAGAAATAAACAAAAATACATTTTAGCAGCTTTTCTGTCCAAGAAACTACATCCAATACTGTGGTTAATGAAATTGTCTGCATGCTCCTGTTGCAAAAAGACTAATTTACATTTATATTACTTCTTTCTGTATAATATACATGATAGGTAGTTTAAGTGCATGTTAAAATGTTTTCTCGGCTTTTACATCTAACTGGTTTAGCATGCTCATTGCGTTGTTGGCTGTATAACTTTTTAATTATTTAATAAGACCAACATAGTTTGCTAAATTGCCCCTTCCAATAGGGCCTGCTCATCTCTTCTACAGGTGAGTAGAGACTTCTACTGATATTTCAGTGTGTGTTGGAGCAGACCCATAATCCCATTCAGTTATGATCAAATACTCTTAAATCAGAAACTTACTGTAATGATAAAGGGAACAGCGTTGATTATTTCCAGGAGGAAGGGTATTCTCAAAATTTGTTCCCAGATGTTCCCCTTTTTAAAACAACAACAAAAATACCAAACTTCAGAAGCAGATGTACACCGAGTTGCACTGTAGAGATCATTCATCCCGAACAATATACAAATATGAATAATCTGCAGAGTCTAAGTGCCAAATCCTGTGGTCCTCACATAGGCAGGGCTCCCAATGATATGGGAGTCTTGCCTGAGAAAGGACTGCAGGATTTGGCAGTAGTGTTCACATGAGGGGGCAGACAATAGCTTAGGGTAAATGAGAGCACATATTACCTATTTATGAGAAGTTAAATTACCAAGTAGGTCCTGATTCTGGGATTTAGGAAAGACAAGTCCTCTTGTGAAGCCAGCTTCTACTGACTCTTAAAATTCATGAAGTTCATACTAATTAATGTAATAATGCAACAGGTACAATGAGGAATAGATTGTGTGATGGATCATTTCAAGGATTTGCAGTGCAATAGAATAAATTAAATACGTGCATATAAATGATTCGACATTTCCAACAAATTAATTAATCCTCCTCATTATATCCTCTGACTCAGTTACGGAATGCTAAATACAAGCTTTGTTTGCAAAAAGGAAATCCTTTATTCCCCCCACCTTCATCTCCAAAGGCAACTGCTGCTATAGTGCCAGAAAATTTTTAATTTGACAAAAGAATGAGACTATAGTTGGATAGCTTTAAATGTTCTGTGTGGTAACTGTAAACAGAAGTGATGGGAGAAAGATGATTAAACACTCATTTAACTGTGGTCACAACAAAAAATGAATTTTGATTTTCAATTTTTTAATACATTATAATCTCACCCACCATGTGTTCCTACTGAGCAAATATCTTTGCTTATTTTACTGTCTAGGGGACTTTTCTTTATGCTTCTGAACAAAGCATGATCAATTCTACCGATTTCATTGTACTGGTAGTGTCTCTATTACAAGAGAGAAAAAGGACACACATGTAGCAACACAGTTAGTCTCCAGGGAGATATCTGATATAGAATCATAGAATCATAGAATACTATAACTGGAAGGGACCTCAAGAGGTCATTGAGTCCAGTCCCCTGCCCTCATGGCAGGACCAAGCACTGTCTAGAGGAAGCCTGACAGTTGTCTGTCTAACCTGCTCTTAAATATCTCCAGTGATTGAAATTCCACAACCACCCTAAGCAATTTATTCTAGTGTTTATCCACCCTCGTAGGCAGGAAGTTTTTCCTGATGTCCAACCTAAACCTCCCTTTCAGCAATTTAAGCTCAGAGGCCAAGGAGAACAATTTTTCCCCTCCTCCTTGTAACACCCTTTTAGATACTTGAAAATGGCCCTCATGTTCCCTCTCTGTCTTCTCCTTTACAAACTAAACAAACCCAGTTCTTTCAGTCTTCCCTCATAGGACATGTTTTCTAGAACTTTAATCATTCTTGTTGCTCTTCTCTGGACCTTCTCCAATTTCTCCACATCTTTCTTGAAATGTGATGCCCAGAACTGGGCACAATACAGGCAGTCCCCGGGTTACATGGATCCAACTTACATCGGATCCCTACTTACAAACGGGGTGAGGCAACCCCGTACTAGCTGCTTCCCCCCAGCAGACCAGGGAGACGTGGAGCGGCTTTTCTCAGCAGACACCTCAGCTTCAGAATAAAGGAGTGAGGGAAGTGAGGTGTGGGAGAATAAAACTGAGCTCTGGAGAAATGTTTGGCTAGAGTTTCCCCTACAATATGTACCAGTTCTGACTTACATACAAATTCAACTTAAGAACAAACCTACAGTCCCTATCTTGTACGTAACCCGGGGACTGCCTGTATTTACATTTCTAGAACATTTTGTGCCCAGTAGGGGGCAGTATTGAGTGGCTTGTAATACTTCCTCTTTTCAGCCTGTGGTATATGCGTGATGCACAGAGCGTCTGTTAGGACCCCTAAATCCCTTTCTGCAGTGCTCCTTCCTAGACAATCACTTCCCATTCTGTATGTGTGAAACTGATTGTTCCTTCCTAAGAGGCATACTTTGCATTTGTCCTTATTAAACTTCATCCTGTTTACCTCGGACCATTTCTCTAGTTTCACCAGATCATTTTGAATTACAATCCTATCCTCCAAAGCACCTACAACCCCTCTCAGCTTGATATCATCTACAAACTTAATAATCGTACTCTATGCCATCATCTAAATCATTGATGAAGATATTGAACATAACTGGTCCCAAAATAGACCCCTGAGGAACCCCAATTTTTATGCCCTTCCAACATGATTGTGAACCATTATTAACTACTCTCTGAAAATGGTTATCTAGCCAGTTATGCACTACCTAATAGTAGCCCCATCTAGGTTGTATTTCCCTAGTTTCTTGATAAGAAGGTCATGTGAGACTATGTCAAATGTCTTAATAACATTTAAGTATACCACGTCCAACAATTCCCTCTTATCCAAAAGACTTGTTATCCCATCAAAGAAAGCTATTTGATTGGTTTGATATGATTTGTTCTTTACAAATCCATGCTGGCTGTTACCTATCACCTTATTTTCTTCCAGATGTTTGCAGATGAATTCCTTAATTACTAGCTCCATTATCTTCCCTGGCATAGAAGTTAAACTGACTGGTCTGTAGTTTCCTGGGTTGTTCTTATTTCCCTTTTTATAGATGGGCACTATATTTGCCCTTTTCCAGTCTTCTGGAATATCTTCTGACTTCCATTATTTTTCAAAGATGATAGCTAAAGGCTCAGATACCTCGTCTATCATCTCCTCGAGTATTCTAGGATGCATTTCATCAGGACCTGGTGACTTGCAGACATCTAACTATTCTAAGTAATTTTAACTTTTTCTTTTATTTTAATTTTGAAACCTAGCCCATTTGCGCTAGCATTCACTATGTTAAGCATTCTGTCACCATGCACCTTCTTGATGAAAACTGAAACAAAAAAGTCATTAAGCACCTCCACCATTTGCAAGTTTCCTATTATTGTTTTCCCTCCTCACTGACTAATGGGCCTATCCTGTCCTTGGTCTTCCTCTTGCTCCTAATATACTTGTAGAACATCTTCTTGTTACCCTTTACGTTTCAAGCTAGATTTAGCTCTTTTTGTGCCTTTGCCTTTCCAATTTTGCCCCTGCATATCTGTGTTGTTTGCTTCTATTCATCCTTTGCAATTTGACCTAGTTTCAACTTTTTATATGACTTCTTTTTTTTAAAATCATGTAAGATCTCTCGGTTGATCCAAGGTGGTGTCCTGTCATACTTTTTATCTTTCCTACACAGTGGAATAGTTTGCTTTTGGGACCTTAATAATGTCCCTTTAAAAAACTTCCAACTCTCTTCAGTTGTTTTTCCTCCTAGTCTTGCTTCCCATGGGACCTTACCTACCAGCTCTCTGAATTTACTAAAATCTGCCTTCCTGAAATCTACTGTCTCTATTTTGCTGTTCCACTTTCAAATTTTCAACCAGTTCCTCCCTATTTGTTAAAATCAAATCAAGAACAGTTTCCGCCCTTGCAGCTTTCTCAACCTTCTAAAATAAAAAAAATGTATCCAAGGCAGTCCAAGAACTTGCTGGATAATCAGTGCCCTGCTGTGTTAGTTTCCTAATCAATTCAGGACATGTACAAGTTCTCATTATCAGTTTCTATGGGACCGATTCTCCATTGACCTGTAATATGTTGAACTCATTGCCTGGGGATATTAAGAGGGCCAAAACTATTATTGGCGACAAAAGAATTGGATACATTCATAGAGGAAAGATCCATTAGTAGGTATTAGCTAAGATGGTCAGGAATGCAACCTGATGATTTGGGTGATCTGCGCCCTAAGCCTAAGTTAGGCATGGACAAAAGGATGGATCAATTGATTGCTTTGATCTGTTTATTTCATCTGAACCATCTGGTATTGGCCATTGTTGGAAAAAAAGGATACTAGTCAAGATTGATGGTCTGACCTAGTATGTCCATTCTTACATATAGTAATTTACGATATGTGCAAAATGGATATAAATTGCTACCAAAACAGATATAAACTTTCCACAGATATAAAGATCTACTTTAAGGGACTGATTCACCATTACGTTACATCTTTATACTCAGTGAAACTGATGCAAAGTAGATGTAGGTATAAAATGCTAGATAGAATAGTCGTGTTTGTATAAAGTTTCCACAGTTATAAATTACCTAGGCACTAGGAAATCTGACCTAATAACTTTAGAAATAGTACTTAAATAGCACTAATTGAAAAAGTGGAATTAAATACTATTGATTCATAAACTAAAAACATAAAATGAGAGTTAATTTTTTAAAATAAAGCCTTTTCTTGTTTTGTTCCATGAAATTTATTTTGTTTTAACTAAAAAAAAATCTCAAAATGCAAATTTCCTACAATTAAGTATAATAGCCCATAATACAATTTAAAGGGCAAATTATATGATGAAATTCTAACATACATTAGAAAATGTAACTATAGAAAAATTGACACGTTAAAAAAAAATAAAAACAAATGTATTATTTGTACTTCCATTCATCAGCAGATCTCAAGGAATTTTGCAAATATCCCTAGTTTTGTGTTGGAATAAGAGGTGCAGATGAATATTGGCCCAGATTTTCAAAATTACTCTCTTTTTGTATATGCCTCTATTCCTAACTGACCAAATATAGATGACTGAACTTTCATTTAAAAAAAACCTGGAGAAATTGTTCTGAAACAACTTGAACAGATCTGAGAGAGAGTTGTAGTACATCACATATTGAAAGCTAAGATCACAGAGAGATAAATGTAACAAAATTTGAAAAAAAATGTCCCTAATTTATCCAGAGATGCAGTGGACAACTTAGAAGTGAAATTCAAGTTTTCTGACATCCAGTCCCCTGTTCTGTTTATTATACCTAATATATCAAAGAAATAAGAAGTGGCTGTGTAAGATAATATAGATAATATACTGTCCTGTATAGATTTATCTTGACTTTCTATTTTTGTGTTATATCATTTAAGCCCAGACACAAATTGAGGTCTCTGTTGACTTTACAATTACTTCTTTATTCAATTGCCTCTTGCAACATATTAATCACAGCTTTTCAAAGGTTTTAGGTATAGCTCTGTTCAACATTACTAGGCAGAAGGAGTAGATTTTTCAAAAGGTATTTAGACAAACAAAGATGCTTAGTGGGATTTTCAAAAGTACCAAGGGCCCAGATCTGCAAAGGTATTTAACATCCTAACTTCATTGATGTCCTCCTCCTCCCCTCCCCCCACCCTGCCATCTTTGACAGTGTTTACAGAATCATAGGGTTGGAAGAGACCACAGGAAGTCATTGAGTCCAACCCCTTGCTAAAAGCAGGACCAACCCTAACTAAATTATCCCAGCCAGGACTTTGTCAATCTGGGACTTAAAAACCTCTAGGGATAGAGATTCCACCACCTCCCTAGGTAACTCATTCCAGTGCTTGCCACCCTCCTGGTGAAATAGTTTTTCCTAATATCCAACCTATACTCCTCCACTGCAACTTGAGACCATTGCTTCTCATTCTGTCATCTGTCACCACTGAGAACAGCCTCTCTTCATCCTCTTTGGAACCCCTCCCCCCCTTCAGGTGGTTGAAGGCTGCTATCAAATCCGTCCTCACTCTTTTCTTCTGTAGACTAAATAAGCCCAAATCCTTTAGCCTCTCCTCCTAAATTTGTCAACCTGCTCTTAAAAATCTCCAGTGGTAGAGACTCCACAACCTCCCTTGACATCTTATTCTAGTGCTTAACCAACCTGACAATTGAGAAGTTTTTCCTTATGTCCAACTGTGCTTTCTGAAGAATAAACACATTGCTTCTTGCCATATACTCAGAGGCTAAAGTGAATAATTTGTCTCCCTCCTTATAATGACCTTTATCACTTCCCCCATTCCTGAAGTACAGCAATACTTGGAATGAAAAGGTTTGTGTGTGTGTGTGTGTGTGTGTGTGTGTGTGTGTGTATGTGTGTGTATAATATATTTAACTGTTAACTGTAAGTCTGTCCAGTGGCTTAGGCAGGAAGCCAAAAGAATAAACTTTCCAAATTAAAGGATGTGAAAATTTAAATTAGCAGAGTGCAGTTGTCTAAATTAGAAAGAAGCAAAGCAGTCAAGACCGTGTACTTATTTTCATGAAAAATAGCATTTCCAACAGTACAGTGCTCACTAATGCCACTTCAGCACCAGTGGGAATTGCTGATTGAAGACCATTTCCCAAATGATCTTGGTTATCAGTTGAAAGATGCAGATAACACATCTAAAGAAAAATTTTCCCCCATATTGGCAAATATTCATTGTGGCTATTGCCAAACTACAAAATGCTTCTTCTCAGATCGTCAGCTGGTGTAAATTTAACTAATTATATCAAATTTGACAGAGAGTGGCTGACTTATGCTAGCTGAGCGTCTGCTCATTCCTTCCTTCATATGTTTGATGCTATGATCCTCTATAGCTTTTCTTAACTAAACAGTGAGCTGATTAAAAGCCCACTGAAAGTCTGCCATTGACTTCCATTGATTTAGGCCCATTGTAAACTTCATGAATCATGAATGAGTTATGCACTTCAGTACAATTATGAGTAACACTTTTCTTCACCAATTAGTCACAGCTAATTTAAGGTAATCATTTTTATCTTTAACCCAAACTGCAAGTAGTGAACTACCTTACAAAGGGATCTCATCTCTGGTCAATGAGCATGTGTAAACTCCCCTTAACATTAAGAGAAATGTATCAAATGGAGAATTGATTCCAAAGCATATAGGACTTACCTTGTAGCTCAGATAACCCAGCAGCATTGTTTCAAACAGACTTATCAAAGCCACTGAAACCTAACATAATGATATATATGTTACTTCAGGGTTAGTAATGTAATTAAGTAAAGCAAAAATGACCAGAAGTATTAAACAAAAAGGTTAAAGATAATCTAAACCATCTGATTTATAGTGAAGAAATTCCCACAAACCATTGTTAACCACTAAAGCTTAGTTTTAATCTAATGACAGTATGTGCTGAATAAAGTCCTACTAGTGATGAACAATCCATTAGTATTTACTCTGCCCACTTGTCCTAAGTCCTATTGTCTGCTAGGCTCTGTTCTCAAAATCTCCATGAAAATAATTTCAGAAGGCCAAAAGGTATCTCCATGGATTTTTAAGGAAGGCCAAATAAAAGCAGCCAGTTTCTGTCCTATGCTGCAACTGGCAGGCTGCTAGGACTTGTCCTATTTTGAGATGACAAAGTTTAAGGAATGAATTTTAAAATGAGACAAATGATGGGAGGAAGTCGTGACCTCTTTCAACCCTGATAGTGAAGTGTTGTTACCGTGTGGTCATAATTATTAAAAAAGTTTCGAAACATAGAAAAAGACCGATAAATGTCATTGTTTAAATCAGTGTATGTTGAGCTAATGGACATGAATACAAGGTCAGTAAACATCTATTTGGTTACACATTGCATAATTCCAACTATGTTTTAAAAAATCACAAAACCAGCTTAAACTTGTACTTATATTAAATTAAAAATGTATTATATATTCATTTGTATAACTTAGTCTGGAGTCTGAAATCAAATTAGCCTCTATTCTTAATTTAAAATTAATGCTCATTATTAATGATAACACAACATCCTGTACTACTTGAACTTGAAATTTCATTACTAAAATTCAAATAGATGGTGTGATTTAGAATATATATAAAAAACACCCACAAAAATCATTCTTCCAGTAATACACACACACACACACACACAAAATAGGAGCATATTCTGTGTGTTTGTAGCTATCATTCTGTGTTCATTGATTAATATAAGTTTACAGCATAAAAATAAGTCTAAAGCCAACACCATAAATATTTGGTTTATGTTTCAATAGTTTAACATTACATTAAAAATGTATGTACACCAAAATGTATTTGCTCAGATCTTGCATATTTTAAATAAATATTCCAAAGCTATCTTCATCAGAGGACTGTTGCTTTAAGCAGCTGTGTTACACAAAGATAGGATTCACCATAACACATTTGTATTGAGCATGATGCAGAAATATAATAACATAATTATACTATTTAAGGAGAATTCCCACAACTATCTTCAAAGTTTTACACTTAACTTAATGCAAAACAATAGCTTTATTTTCAGAAATCATATAAAGTTAAATAAAGTTTAATTGTGGGCCTAATTCCAATGACCTAAGCATCTAAAATCTAGTTATTTTTTATTTATTTTAGTTTAGGAACCATAAAGGCACCTACTTAAAAGACAAGCCACATAAAAGACAAGAGCCAAGAGTTATCTCACACAATATATCTAAATAAAATTGTAATAGTACTGCTCAGATTTTGAAAAAAAGAAAAGAAAAAGGGAAATTTTAAACAACATCTCTTAAAGAATATCTGCCTCCTCTTTAGTGTTCCTGGAAGACTAACAAATCCAGACTATTTTGAACCAGGATGGAGATCAAGTGCCAAATACAAGAAAGGACCCTTCATAAAGAATATCCTACTAGAAATCCATTATTCTTTACTGAGGAGAAGGATGATCAAATTTGAGTGCCAGCATTGATCCTCCCTACAGCAATGAGAAAGGCGGTCTCTCAGATAGGCAGATTCCATCCCACTTAGGGCCTTTGTGCATGACAACAACAACTTAAACTACATTTGGAAACACACAGGCAGCTAGTGCAACTCACAAAACACTCGTGTAACATACTTGTAGCCAGATTCTCCAATTTGGGCTCATCTAGACTACAGGGAATATTCGAAAGAGGAATTTGCATATCTTCTTTCGATCTCACTTTTGAAAGTGGAGCTTTCAAAAGTGAAAGTAATCGAGACGCGTTTTTTTTCAGCAACCCCCCCTTTTTTGAAAAGCTGCTTTTCCTCCAAAAATGAGCTTTATGCGGCTTTTTGAAAAAAGGGGGGGGCGATTGCAGAAAAAAATGCATCTCGATTACTTTCACTTTCGAAGGCTCTGCTTTCACAAATTCCAGCAAAATTTGCATATCCTCTTTTGGATCTTTCCCATAGTCTACACATAGCCAGTCTCTGTACAGACTGCTCTATTTTGTATTAGTTCTAGCTTACTTGTGATTTAAGATATAGTCCAAAATAGAATGCATCACAATAGTCTTCCAGGAACAAAGCTCAGACTCAGGCTCTGTTTGCAGTTGAGAGTTTACAGTGGCACAGCTGTACTGATGCAGCCACACCACTGTGAGATCTCTCATACAGCTGCTCTCTGCCATCAGCTCTTTTGTCAGCATAGTTATACTATCCCCAGTGATTGGTGGTAGCTACGTCATCAGGCACACGGCACTCTGCAAACTACCACTGATGCTGACATGATTTCTGTTCCTTGAAGCTCAAATATTCACATTCCCAAAGAACCATAAGTTTTACCAATATAAGTGATAGAACAGACATGGCTTTCTAATTGCAACTCTGGTCTACAGTAGAAACTTATGTCAGTATAACTATGTTGCTCGGGTGTGGAAAACTCACGCTCCTAAGCAAAGCAGTTACAACCACCTAATTCCTGGTGTAGATGAGAGGACTCAGCAAGTTCTCAGTAAAGTTTCTGTAAGAGTGGGTCCAATAGACTGTTTATTTCTAAGGAAAAATTCTTACAGAATGTTAAAACTTTTTATTCTCTCCTGATCTATAATGCTTTACTATAAATGCACATATTCCAGTGTCTTGTGACATTCAATATCATATAGATTGAAATTGCATTTGCTTTCTTAATTAACTTTTATGAGTTTATGTTTATCACGATATTGGGCTGCCAAGGAAGCAGAATTTTGTTTGCTACCCCATATGTGTGTATATTATATATATACACATATGTGTGTATAATATATATATATATAGAGAGAGAGAGAGCATTAAGGTTATAAAATGTAATTGCTAAAAATGTCCTAATTATACATTACCTGTAATCCCCATAAAGGCAAGCTTCGGTTCACCCAAATGATAGGAGACCTGTTGAATCACAATGACACAATGAATGTAACACTCAAATGGTGCTTGCTTATGTGCCTGATCCAAATCCCAACAATGTCAAAGGATCGACTATCCAGTGATCAAGTGTGGAGGGGGCTATGGATTGAGACTGCTGGATGGGTGCAGGAGGGGGGAAAGGCTCCGACTAGGGGTACAAACTCTGAGGTGGTGTTGAGGATGAGGTGTTTGAGGTCAAGGAGGGTCTCCAGGCTGGAGACAAATTTAGCAGGCAGGAGGGGTTCAGAGCAGGAGAGAGTGTGGGCACGGGGTCTGGGAGAGAGCTGGAGAGGGTTTAGGACAGAAGATAAGGGTGCAGAGTCTGGGAGACAGGACACAGGAGAGGGATCAGGGCTGAAGCAGGGGGTTGGAGTCAGGGTCTGGGTGAAGGAGTTGGTGTGCTGGCTCTTATCTGGGGCAGCTCCTCTTCCATGGTGCAGGCTCTGGGCAGGTGAGGCATCCCTATGCCTGCTTGCAGCCACTGCCTCCCCACAGCTCCCATTGACCACAATCCCCAGCCAATGGGATCTGTGGGGTCAGAATCTGCAGGCAAGGGAAGCGCATGGAGGGAAATTCCCGGCCCTTGCAGTTCCAGTAATACTTGGGTAGGGGTCAGAAGGGCACAGAGCCACATTCGCTCCCCATACACACACCGGGCAGGGCCAGAACACGGGGGCTCAGTGGCTGTTGCCCAAGGCCCCAGGCTAATTGAGATCTCGGAGCTGCCAAAAGTGCAGATCTTTTTGCAGGACCCCATTAGCCCTGGGCTCAGGGTAGCAGTCCCTAAAGCCCCTGTCTTAATCCAGCCCTGTTCTTGATACAATACCAGTGAAACTAGGCACACAGTACTATTGGTCACTGTACTACCCTAGTCTATATAATTATCGTGTGTTTTCTTTCTCAGTAAGAAAATACATTTCTAGAATCTATGTAGTTCTGATCATCTGGAAGTCATGATTCCTACCTCTAACATTGTGGTATTCACTTGTCCAGATGTACACAATTAATCTCTATGCTGAACCCATCTTTTGGTCTCAAAAGACTTGGTATTTTAGATTACTTGCTCCACAGTTCTGGAGCCTTAAAATCTCACCAATACTACATGAAGGTTGTTTTTCTTTGCCAGGCACGCAGAGTTCCTATGTGGAATTAATTCTGTAGGGCAAGAAATTCTTGAAAGGAATTTTATGACTCCATCAACTTAGTTTAAATGTTTCTAGAAAGGCTGTAGGATTCAGAAGCTTAGATGCTATGACTATTTTCCCCTCATTGATACACATAACTTTCACTTTCTGCATATGCATTAAAGAAATATATGGGTATTGGAACTCAAAACAGATTACTATTATGTTTAAAAAATGTGAAACTCACCAATCAATCTTTGCAGGTGTGTGATTTTGACTGGAACAGCCCTTGCTTAATTCCTTGCTGCCGGAAGTGAACATATCCACATATAAATCCCACATCCAGATGTACATAGAAACAGCATTATAAAAAGATTTGGGGGGGGAAGGATGGGATTTAATTTGTTAGGTACCATTGTTCTATAAATGTACACAGTGTACACTAATTCAGTTGTGATAGGGGCTACACTGCCATAACTAAAAGGCAGATACATTTTTGTTATTGTTTGTAAAAGATCAATTTTCAAATGTAATCTATAAAAATCAAGAGATGGAAAAAATGGAGTATTTTCATAGACCAAATCAGGAAGAAAGCGCTAAAAATACCAGGAATTATTTCAAAGAGGCCTTAAAAGGATGATTGTGGAGAGAGCATTGGAAGATAGAGTTTCCATAACCGCAAATGCAAAGATTGCACCAAACTACAGATCCCATCCTCTAGTAGGAATAGCATTCATTTCTGAGAGAGACTAGTGGCATTTGTGTAGGGGAAAAAAATTACATGCATGGGGTAACCATGGAAAATAGCCCTCCTTGCTCACTTCATGCTCACTTCATGCAGGTTCATAGAATAATAGAACCAAAGAGCTGGAAGAGACCTCAGAAGGTCCAGCCACCTGCTCTAGGCAGGACCAATCCTAACTAAATCAACTCAGCCAGAGCTTTGTCAAGCCGAAACTTAAACACCTCTAGGGATGGAGACTCCACTAATTCCCTAGATAACCCATTCCAGTGCTTCACCACTCTCCTAGTGAAATAGTTTTTCCTAATATCCACCCTGGCCCTCTCCCACCACAACTTGAGACCAATGCTCCTTGTTCTGCCATCCGTCACTACTAAGAACCGTCTCTCTCCATCCTCTTTAGAACCTCCTTTCAGGAAGTTAAAGGCTGCTATCAAATCCCCCCTCACTCTTTGCTTCTGAAGATGAAACTCCCTCAGCCTCTCTTCATAGGTCATATGCTCCAGCCCCCTAATCATTTTGGTTGCCCTCCGCTGGACCCTTTCCAATGCGACCACATCCGTTTTGTAGTTGGGGCCCAGAACTGGACACAATACTGAAGATGTGGCCTCACCAGAGCCTAATAAAGGGGAATAATGACATCTCTGGATCTGCTGGCAATGCTCCTTTTAATGCAACCTAATATGCCATTAGCCTTCTTGGCTACAAGGGCACACTGTTGACTCATATCCAGATTCTCATCCACTGTAACCCCCAGTTCCTTTTCTGCAGAACTACTACTTAGCTGGTTGGTCCCCAGCCTGTAACAGTGCTTGGGATTCTTCCATCCCAAGTGCAGAACTAGTTGTACTAGTTGAATCTCATCAGATTTCTTGTGGCCCAATCCTGCAATTTGTCTGAGTCACTGTGGACCCTATCTCTGTCCTCAAGCTTATCTACCTCTCCTCCTAGCTTAGTGACATCTACAAACTTGCTGAGGATGCAATCCATCCCCTCATCCAGGTCATTAATAAAGATATTGAACAAAACTGGTCCTAGAACTGAACCTTGAGGCACTCCGCTAGAAACCGACCGCCATCCTGACATCGAGCTGTTGATCACTACCCGCTGGGCCCAGCCTTCTAGCCAGCTTTCTATCCATCTTACCATCCATTTACCCAATCCACATTCCCTTAACTTACTGGCAAGAATATTGTGGGAGACCGTATCAAAAGCCTTGCTAAAGTCAAGGTATATCACATCCACTTACTTTCCCATGTCCACAGAGCCAGTTATCTCATCATAGAAGTTAATTAGATTGGTCAGGCACGACTTGTCCTTTGTGAATCCATGCTGACTATTCCTGATCAGTTTCCTCTCTTCCAAGTGCCTCAAAATGGATTCCTTAAGGATCCCTTCCATGGTTTTTCTAGGAACCGAGGTAAGACCTATAGTTCACCTATAGTTCCCTGGATCATCCTTCTTCCCTTTTTTGAAGATGGGCACTACATTTGCTTTTTTCCAATCATCCGGGATCTCTCCCGATCTTCACGACTTTTCAAAGATAATGGCCAAAGGCTCATCAATGACATTTGCCAACTCCCTCAGTACCCTTGGATGCATTAAGTCTGGACCCATGGATTTGTGTATGTTTAGTTTTTCTAAGTAGTTCCTAACCTGTTCAAAAGGGGGTGGAGAAATTTTCTGGACCAGACATAAGTAGTGGTCATGTTTCTGTGAGGGTGAGAAAAATCCTTAGATAACGCTATGTCTCTTGTGGCATGCAGAAGGAAAGCCTTTCCACCTATGTTGCCATTGATTGTCTGCTAATGTCTTTGCACTCTCACTCCTGCTTGATAGGGGTGGAAACTACTGATCAAAACCACATACAGAAATAAAAAATGGTTACCTACCATCTCCTATCTGTTGTTCTTCAAGATGCATTGTTCATATGTATTCCAGTTAGGAATGTAAACATGGATGGTGGCCAGTAGATTTTCCCATAGCAGCACCCATAGTTGCACCTCCATGACACTCAATATAGTACCCTGCCAACCCACCCCCTCTTCAGTTCCTTCTTGCAGGCTGCTCTGACAGAGGGGAAGGAGGGTGGATATTGAATTAGACACGAATCACACATCTTGAAGAACAACAGTTATGAGAAGGTACATAACATTTTTTTCTTAGAGTGCTTGATCATGTGTGTTCCAGTTAGGTGATTCACAAGCAGAAGGTTAGTAGGTGAGGTCAGAGCCGACCACTCATCACTCATCCTAATGAGACTTGTTGAGTAATTGCATAATGCGAGATAAATGTATGTCTGAAGGACCATGTAGCTGCCTTACAGATTTCATGAGTGGGAACATGGGCCAGAAAGGCCGTGGAAGAAGCCTGTGCCCTAATAAAATGTTCTGTGTTTGGAACTGTAGGAAGACTTGCTAATCTGTAGCACTCTTGGATACAGGACGTAGTCCATGAAGATATATGTTGAGCAGACACCAGCTGTCCTTTCATCTTAGCCGCAATTGCCAAGAAAAGCTGGACCGATTTACAAAATGGTTTTGTTCTCTCAATATAAAAAGCCAGGGCTCTAAATCTTCTTTTTCCTGGGAGTAGAATGCGGTTTGGGATAGAACATGGACAGGAAAATGACCTAGTTCAAGTGAAATTGGAATACCATCTTCAGGAGAAAAGCTGGGTGAGACCTAAGTTGTACTTTGTCCTTATAGAACACAGTATAGCATGGTTCCAATCTTAAGAGTCCTGAGTCTGGATACTGCCCTGGCTACAGTTATGCCCACCAAAAAGGCTACCTTATAGGAGAGATATAACAGTGAACAATTTGTTTAGGGTTCAAAGGGTGGCCCCATAAGCCTACAAAGGACTGAATTAAGGTTCCATGGTAAGTGGATAAAGCTTGTCCAGACATTTCAGAAAGCATGTCACCAGGGGATCTGTAAACACCAAATGGCTATGTGAGCCTTGCTGGAATGCTGAGATAGCAGCCAAGTGCACTCTTATTGAAGGAAGAGAGAAGCGTTCCTGCTTCAGGTGGAAAAGATAGTCTAAAATGAGTGGTGTTGGGCCAGCAGAGGAGGGGAGTGATGCCGAGCAGCCCAGATTGAAAAATGTCTGCCATTTAGCTAGATATGTGGTAGATGGTTTCTGCTACCAAGCAAAATATGGTCTGACTTGAGTTCTACAAGTTCTATGGGGTTCAGCCACAGAGCTTCTATGCCATATAATGCAGGGACTTGAGGTTTAGGTCCTGGAGGAGATTGTGGTCTTGTGTCAATAGCTCCAGAAAGAGTGGAAGCATAACTGGTGTCTCCATTGAGGTTTCCAGGAGCAAAGTGTACCACAGCTGTTGAGGCCATGCCAGGGCTATTAGTATAAACCTTTGTGCATTCCCTCCTGATCTTAAGGATCACCTTTTGGAGGACTGGAATGGGTGGGAATGCCTAGAGAAGGGGACCTTGCCAATAAAGAAGGATAGCATTTGCAGTGGAGCCCCAGCTGTGATTCTGGAAGGAGCAGAACTCTTGATGCTTCCTGTTGAGATGTGTGGCAAACAGGTCAATAAGGGGAAAGCCCCACTTTTGGAAAACTGAGACCACTACATCTGGGTGAAGTGACTACCCATGACCACATCCTTTTTGTAGTTGGGGGCCCTGAATTGGACACCATACTGCAGATGTGGCCTCACCAGAGGCAAATAAAGGGGAATAATCACTTCTCTGGATCTGCTGGCAATGCTCCTCTTAATGCAACCTAATATGCCATTAGCCTTCTTGGCTACAAGGGCACATTGTCGACTTATGTCCAGCTTCTCATCCACTGTAATCCCTAGGTCCTTTTCTGTGGAACTGCTACTTAGGCATTCGGTCTCCAGCCTTTAAAAACCCTTGGAATTCTTCCATCCCAAGTGCAGGACTATACACTTGTCCTAGTTGAACTTCATCAGATTTCTTTTGAACCAATCCTGCAATTTGTCTAGGTCACTGTGGACCCTATTCCCGCCCTCCAATGTATTTACCTCTCCCCCTAGCTTAGTGTCATCTGCAAACTTGCTGAGGGTGCAATCCATCCCCTCATCCAGGTCATTAATAAAGATATTGAACAAAACCGGTCCTGGAACCGAACCTTGGGGCACTCCGCTAGAAACCAACCGCCAACCTGACATCAAGTAGTTGATCATTACCCACTGGGTCCAACCTTCTAGCCAGCTTTCTATTCATCTTACAGTCCATTTATCCAATCCATACTCCCTTTACTTGCTGACAAGAATATTGTGGGAGACCGTATCAAAAGCTTTGCTAAAGTCAAGGTACAGCAGACTTCTGATAATCCAGCACCCTTGGGACATAGGTGGTGCCGGATTATTGGATATGTACCAGGAGGTACAATAAGGGGGCATACTCCCAACCCAATCCTCCTCCCCTCCCCGACCTTATGCTCGGGTCCTGGAGCTGCCGGTACAGTCACGCGTCTCCTTCCAGGCACTGGGGCATGTGCGCTGAGCAGCAAGTTTTTCAATGAGCTGGCTGGGATGCATTGTGCAACCCAATCCCCCTCCCCTCGCCTTCCCTTCCCCAGAGCCAAACACCTCCCCCTCTGCTGTCACGCAATCCCCCGTCCCCCGCAACCTCATGTCTGGGTCCTGAAGCAGCTGCCTCTGCTCAGCGGCCAGCTGCCAGCATGTGCAGGCTGGATGCTCTGTGTGCTGGGGACCATGAGCAGAACGGCGCAAGCCATGAGTGTGCATGCGGCTCACAGCGGTCCGACCATGACAGTGGCTGACCCGAGAAGTTCCGGGTTCCAGTTGATGCCGGACTATCAGGAGTGCCGGACAACTGGATGTCAGACTATTGGAGTTTTACTGTATATCAGATCTACTGACTTTCCCATATTCATAGAGCCAGTTACCTCATCATAAATGCTGTTAAGATTGGTCAGGAACGACTTGCCCTTTGTGAATCCATGCTGACTATTCCTGATCACTTTCCCCTCTTCCAAGTGCCTCAAAATGGATTCCTTGAGGATCCCCTTCATGATTTTTCTGAGGACTGAGGTAAGGCTAACTGGTCTATAATTCCCTGGATTGTTCTTCTTCCCTTTTTTAAAGACGAGCACTACATTTGCCTTTTTCCAATCATCCAGGATCTCTCCCGATTTCCATGACTTTTCAAAAATAATGGCCAAAGGCTCCTCAATTACATTTGCCAACTCCCTCAGTACCCGCAGATGCATTAAATCCAGACCCATAGATTTGTGTATGTTTAGCTTTTCTAAATAGTTCCTAACCTGTTCTTTCCCCACCAAGGGCTGTCCACCTTCTTCTTATATTGCATCATCTAGTGCATTTGTCTGGGAGCTGACCTTGTCTGTGAAGACAAAGGCAAAGAAAGCATTGAGTACTTCAGCTTTCCCCACATCATCTGTCACTCGGTTACCTCCCTCATCCACTAAGGGCCCTCTCTGATCACCCTCTTCTTGCTAACATGCTTGTAGAAACCTTTCTTGTTACCCTTCACATCCCTTTCTAGTTGCAATTCTGATTGCACTTTCGCCTTCCTGATATTTCTGGCTTCTCAAGCTATACATTTACAGCTCCACTGAATTCTTGAGATATACATTTATACCCTTCTCTAGTTATCTGCCCAAGTTTCCACTTCTTGTAAGCTTCCTTTTTGTGCTTAAATTCACCAAGGATTTCCCTGGTAAACTAATCTGGTCTCCTACCATATTTGCTTCTCTTGCTGTGCATCGGGGGTTTCTATCTGTGCCTTCAATAAATTCTTTAAAATACTGCTCTTCTGCACTCCTTTCCCCTTCATGTTCGCATCCTTCATGTTAGCATCCCAGGAGATTCTGTCCATCAGGTCTCTGAGGGAGTCAAAGTCTGCTTTTCTGAAGTCCAGGGCGTATATTTTACTACTCTCTTTTCTTCCTTTGGTTAGGATCCTGAAATCTCGTGATCACTTCTTCCCAGATTGTCATCCACCTCTACTTCCCCTATTAGTTCCTCCCTGTTCGTGAGCAACAGGTCAAGATACGCATGACTCCTGGTCAGATCCTACAGCACTTGTACCAAGAAGTTATCCTAAATATTCTCCAAAAACTGCCTGGGTTGTCTGTATACTGCTGTATTGGTCTCCCAACAGATGTCAGGGTGATTAAAGTCCTCCATGAGAACCAAGGCCTGTGATTTAGAAGCTTCTCTCAGTTGTCTGAAGAAAGCCTCTTCTACCTCATCTACCTGATCTGGCGGCCTGGCAACACCAACCACAACATCACTGCTGCTGTTTGCACCTCTAAACTTAACCCATAGACTCTCAACAGGATTTTCTCCCTCTATATACTTGATTTCTGAACAGTCATAGTGCTCTTTTACATACAGAGCAAGTCCTCCACCTTTTCTCCTCACCTATTCCTCCTGAACAGTTTATACCCTTCCATGACAGCGCTCCAGTCATGGGAGTCATTCCACCAAGTCTCTGTTATCCCAATCAAATCATAATTCTTGGACTGGGCCAGGGACTCTAATTCTTCCTGTTTGTTACTCAGGCTTCTCGCATTCATATACAAACACCTTAGATGACCAGTTGTTCACCCTACCTTCTCCATTCTAATCAGGGGTCCTCCTTAGTTGCTCGTTCTTCTTTGCATTTTTTCCTGGTATCTGACTTTCCCACTCACCTCAGGGCTTTGGTCACTGCCCCCCAATGAACCTAGTTTAAAGCCCTCTTCATTAGATTTGCAAGCCTGCTCACGAAGATGCTCCCTCCTCTCTTGGTTAGGTGGATCCCATCTCTTCCTAACAATCCTTGTGCCCGGAACAGAGTCCCGTGGTCAAAGAAACCAAAGCCCTCTCTCCAACACCACCTGTGCAACCACACATTTACTTCCTCATTTCGATGATCCCTACCCAGATCTTTCCCTTCCACCGGGAGGATGGACAAGAACGGCACCTGCACTTCGAATTCCTTGATCCTTCTTCCCAGCACTACATAATCCTCAGTAACCTGCTCAAGGTCATTGTTGGCTGTATTGTTAGTTCCCACATGGAGAAGCAGGAAGGGGTAGCTATCTGAAGTTTTGATCAATTTTGTAAGACTCTCAGTCACATCCTGAATTCGAGCTCCCAGTGAGCAGCACACCCCTCGAGATTGCAGGTCCAGACTGCAAATGGATGACTCAGTGCCTCTTAGGAAGGAATCCCTGACCACCACCACCCGTCTTTTTCTTTTGGGGCTGGTGGTCATGGAATCCCTATACCTAGGACTACTCATCCCATGCCATCCAGTAAATGCTGTTCCCTACCGATTTCTTCCTTGGGAAGTCCCTTCTAAAGCATTCACCACCACAGTGCCTGTAGAAAGAGCCTGAAACCTGTCTTGAGGAAGTGACTTTCATCGGTTAATCATCTGTTACATGAGGACAAGACCAAATTGCATAAAAGTGACTTCTAGATTTGCAGTGTGGCTTGTCCTGAGCCAAGGCCACTATGAACTTGTAATCACAGGAAAAAAACCCGTGTATAGTTTGAAGGCCTGCTACAACTCTTGCTAGAATGGGGGTGATCTCTATTTAGCTTATTAGCATGGGTAGGTTCTCTTACTGTTTTAGTGTTTTCTCTGCTATGCTTTCTTAATAAAAATAAACAGAAGTTTAGGAAAAACGGTTGTTTAAAGACTGAAGAGAAAGCAACGCAGATCTACTTACATGATCTGACTTGCTAGGGAAATCACAGTGTAGACTGTAACACAATATGAGCAAATATACAATAAGCACTTTGAGTAATAAGGAGCAAAATAGTTTTGATTTAAGGAAAATCATGTTACATTTTCATTGGCTACTTTATCATAGTCAGAGTGGATTAGTTTTGCAATCATGCTGCACCACAACCATCTATAAACTCTAAAACTAAATCTCTGTTGGCAGAACATCACATCTTTATAAGCATCAGGTATGACTGATTTGTCTGAGAGGGCAAATAAAATTTTACCATCCATGTCCTTGTGTAGGATCATCAAGGAGTACTCGAATTATATATAAGAAGCAGCTCAATAACTTGAGAGAAAAATTGAACAATCGTATTCTGAGACCTGTTAGATAAAAGGAAAGAAAATACAAATTCAGTTTCTTTAGCTATTAATTCATGTTTAATGTAAAACTACTTAAAAGAAACAAGATATGCCTTCAAGTCAAGTTAGAGAATCTGTGATAAGTATTCAAATATTAATATTTAGATGTTTTTATGGAATAGCTTTGTATAGGGAATAGATTATTGTTGCCCAAATGTACACAATATTATACAATATTAAAGTATAGAGAAAGTGGCACAAGTAAGCATCTGAAAGTCAGAAAATATAAAAATTAAAACTTGGCAAACTTTAACTCTACTCCGTTGTGTGCATACACAACTGCACTGCACACAAGTGCTAAAATATGGCAACCTAATATGCCATGTCTTCTAGAAACTCAAGCCCCAGTTAGGAAATGAGTTCCATGTGGGCAGATCCTCACAACTGAGCAAAGCCTCATTGAACTCAAAGGGGCTCCACATAAGCACAGCATTTGCTATTCCAAAGATCCAATTGAAGCAAATAAAACCATTGACTTAATGGTCATTGAATCAGTCTGAGCACATTGCAGCATCAGGACCAAAGATACACATGTGACTTTGTAATTAAAGACAGCAAAGTCTTAACTGCACAAATTTAATTTTTTTGCATTTAATTCTTACATTTAAAAAGTCTTCATTAATTATATTAATAGTTGCTATTGGCCAAGACTAAGGAGTGTAGAGAAACATTATTAGCAACCATTAGTAAATGATACATTTCTAGACAGAGGATCCAGTCCTCAATTAGGATTCCCACAGTTGGGCACCTGTGGCCATGCAGAGTTCTATTGACTGATGTGAGCTTGCACCAATCTGGTTGCAGGATAATACTAAGCACCAGTCAGACATAGGATAACTGGTGTCTGTTGTTGTAAGCGAAGACCCCAGTTCTTCTAGCACTTATGCGTGTGAATAAGCCAATTGTTCTGAATAGAACCATTTGTATGTTGCCATGTATGTAGGGCCCAATTATGCTTTCCAAAACCATATGTGTGTGTTTGTGTGTATACATGCTTCTAAGAGGAGAGTATAAAATCCATTTATTGAGCATAACTCCCTCTTTCCCCTACCCAATGCTGGAATCTCCCTGGGTACTTTGGGGGAATTGCATTCAAACTGAATATAGTTAATATTTCTAAACATTATTCCTCTCTTCCCTCCTCCAAACAGTGCTATACTTAATTACAGAAATTCAGAACAGTATCTACTTTAACAACATAGAATCTGTGTATGAGAGAGACAAAGAAATTAAGAAATTATTATGGAGTATTGTTTGCTAATTAACTAGGGAGATACATACATATCATGAAGGTTAGATTAACCCATATTGATGCCTGGTATTGGTAAACTGGGAGTTAAAATCCCATCCTAAATTGCCAAGCAATCAGAAGGCCTACAGCTGTGACCAACAATTAGATGTGTCAACATTCATCTAGAGACTCCTGCTGTCTTATCAAAGTTAATTAATATCAGATGCTTGATTTCCCCAGAGTAGGGAGAAGAGATATAGCCCAAGGCTGAGGCATGTGAGTATTCACTGATGTGTTGTAACCTTTAACTTCTTCCTTTTTGAACTGTTTCTGAAGGAAAAAAATCTTATCTGAACTAACCCTTTGGGGAAAATCTGCATAAGTAGGACTAGCTTCTATGCCAGCTGGGCTCTTTTAAGTAGGCAAGCAGGTGAAGGAGACACAACCTAAATGGAGCTACTATAATTGGCTGGAAAACCATTCCTAGAGAGTAGATATCAGTGTTTCACAATCAGTCTGGAAGGGCCTGGATCAGTTTTGTGTCAGTTTCTGTTCAATATTTTCACGAATGATTTCATGAGTGTACTTTCTGTGCCATTAGATGAGTTTGTAGATGATACCACACAGGAAGGAGTTGCAAGTGGCTAGGAGGATAAGATTAAAATTCAAAATGATCTGACCAAACTGGAAAAACGGCCTGAAGAAAACAGCATGAAATTCAATAAGGACAAATGCAGAAGTACTCCACTGAGGAATCAGTTAAGCACACACAAAATGGGAAATAACGGTCTCAGACGGGGGTGGGCAATAAAAAGGTGGTGGTTCTCCAGGGTTAGCTCACTGAAGGCCACCGCCACTATATTTACCTGTGCCTCCACAGGTACTGGCAATTGTTGCTCCCTTGGCTACGGATCACCATTCCTAGCCAACAGGAGCTGCAGGAAGGGGCATGGACCAGAACAGTGCTTCTCCCAACTCCCACTAGCGGCTGGGAATAACAATCTGTGGCTAACAGGATTTATAGTTATGTATACCTGTAAATGTAGTGGAGATCGCTGGCAAGGGGTTAATGCAGATGGACTGGATCTGGCCCGCAGCCTGGTATTTGCCCACCTCTGCCCTAGGAAGCAATAGTGTAGGAAAGTATCTGGGGGGGAGGGGGTCTTTGTGGGTCATAAACTAAATATGAGTGAAGAGTGTAACATTGCTGCAAAATAGGTAGATATAATTCTGGGCTGTATTAGCAGGTCTGTTGTAAGCAAGACACGAGAATCCTGAAGATACTGAATGTGACTAGTAATGCTGCTATATTCTCCCTCTAAATGTAGTTCATTACAAAACTAATCTATGCCTGGATTTTTAAAATAAAACATTACACACTGGCACATGTCATGAGGAGCCGCTCTCCCTTGATGTGTTGGATTTATTTGTAACAAACAAGGATTTTAAAAAGTAGTCTTGTTACACAAATCATTGGGTTGCTGAGCACATTCCCATTGCTTCTTGATTTTTATCAGAGGCATCTTTCTATTCTGCCTACACATACAGCTGGCTCTGTTTAAATTCTATATTTCTAGGTAATTTCATTTGATCAGAACTGAGACTCTCTGGAGGATTCTATTAAGGAAGGAATCAGGGTGTAAAAATTAAGAAGCTTCATTGGGATGAGCTCTGTTCTTGGTAGAAAACACCAAGGCTGTGTCTACACTGCACCCCTTTTCCAGAAAAGGGATGCAGATTAGACAAATCGGAATAGCAAAATCCGCAGGGGATTTAAATATCCCCCGCGGCATTTGCATTTACATGGCTGCCGCTTTTTTCCAGCTTGGGGATAAGCCGGAGAAAAGTGCCAGTCTAGACGTGATTCTCCGGAAAATAAGCCCTTTTCCGGAGGATCTCTTATTCCTACTTTTGCTATTCTGATGTGTCTAATCTGCATCCCTTTTCTGGAAAAGGGGTGCAGTGTAGACACAGCCTTGGTGTTTTCTACCAAGAACAGAGCTCATCCCAATGAAGCTTCTTAATTTTTACACCCTGATTCCTTCCTTAATAGAATCCTCCAGAGAGTCTCAGTTCTGATCAAATGAAATTACCTAGAAATATAGAATTTAAACAGAGCCAGCTGTATGTGTAGGCAGAATAGAAAGATGCCTCTGATAAAAATCAAGAAGCAATGGGAATGTGCTCAGCAACCCAATGATTTGTGTAACAAGACTACTTTTTAAAATCCTTTTTGTACTGGTGAAATGTAGGATTTTACATGGACTTGTTTGTATGCAGCATTCAAATTCTGGCATGGGCAGAGTGAAAATGCATCAGTGGAAAGACCCAAAATCACTACACAGACCTGTCAGCTCCACTGTCTCTGGAACAAGACAGGCTGCTTTGCAAATGGAGGCAGCACACAAAGGCACAAGCCCTTTGCCATCCCCTACCTCACTGATGAGCCTGGAATTGGCTATTGTAGCCACAGATAGAGGCCAGCTAATGCTTTCAGAAATAAGAGAAGAACACAGAAAAATCAGTGGTTCTTCTTTGTTGGCAACCACTAGTATCCAAAAATGCTACAGAAATCAATGAAATATTAAGAACAAATTAACCACAGAGTGGCATCATGGCTCAGAACTGCCAGCGGAGTGAGCTGCTGGTTTTTACTCCTGAGACTCCTCTCCTTATTCTAGCAATCATTAACAATCATTTAGTCTAACCATTTTCTTGTGTATTCAGGATGACCATGTTTGAATACCATTCTAAAACTACTGTTTGGAGTTCTTCATATATAAATTAAACTGGTTGCTTGTTTGACTTTCTCTTTCAGTTAATCGGGTTTTGTGGGAGATTATTGTATATGTGATTAGTAAGTATTTCTTCCAGTTCTTGGAACTTGGAATTTTAGCTATTTCAAGATGCTTGAGTCTATTGTTTGGTAAATATTCCCTAAATAAGCCTATCCCAGAGTCCACTTGGTATAGTTAGGCATTTGAGTCCCCCTCTTGTTTATTACTATGGACTTCTGTTAGGGTATGTCTACACTAGCCCCCTAGTTCGAACTAGGGAGGCTAATGTAGGCATTCGAAGTTGCAAATGAAGCCCAGGATTTATATATCCTGGGCTTCATTTGCATCTTCCCATTTTTAAACGTCCCTTAGTCCGAACTCCGTACTCGCGGCTACACGCGGCACGGAGTAGGTAGTTTGAATTAGGATCTCTAATTTGAACTACCGGTACTCCTCGTGGAATTAGGATCTCTAATTCGAACTACCTACTCCGTGCTGCATGTAGCCGTGGGCACGGAGTTCGGACTAAGGGACATTTAAAAATGGCGGCGCTCAGGAAGATGCAAATGAAGCCCGGGATATTTAAATCCCGGGCTTCATTTGCAACTTCGAATGCCTACATTAGCCTCCCTAGTTCGAACTAGGGGGCAAACAGAGGGCTTAGTTCTCCAATGTCTTATATATTGAATACTCAACACATTCCATAAGAACGTAAGAACGGCCATACCAGGTCAGACAAACAGTCCATCTAGACCAGTATCCTGTCTGCTTACAGTGGCCAATACCAGATGCCCCAGAGGCAGGGAACACAACAGGTAATCCCCATGTGATTCCTCCTCTGTCACCCATTTCCAGGGAAACAGAGGCTAAGGACACCATTCCTGCCCACCCTGGCTAATAGCCATTGATGGAGCTAACGTCCATGCATCTATCTAGCTCTTTTTTAACCCTGT